ATGTTAGCCCATGTTTTTGTGATGGTGTATCCCTATGCAAGCATGTTGGTTGCAGGTTTGTTCTGGAGGCATGTTTGATGATTCCCATGGTTAATCTTTCATCATGCCTCAGTCCTAATGCAGTTCACCTCTAAAGCACTTTGCTGAAATATTTAAATATTCACATATTTAGTTCAATAATTTGTTCATTTAGTTCAAGACAAGCATCAATTTTACTATTCCCCATACTTAAAGAGTGAAATTTGGGCGAAAAGTGTTACCGAACAACTGTAAACATGCTGCACTTTTACATTTAAGATTCACAGCCCCTTACTGTAACTTTTTGGGCTATTACATGTGCATTAATTTCATGAATTTATGGCTTCTTTCTTTTCCCTTTGTTTTCTCAGTGTAGGTTTGATGAATGAGGCTCTCATTCAAAACCAAACAAACTTAAAGGCCAATTTAATTTGCTTCCTATGTAGTTCGTTTCACCCTAGATTAGGTAATCAAGCCCCAGCAAACTTCACTGACACACACTGGCCACGTTCACACAGCAGCAGAATATGGTTGTCAGTCCTGGGGCCGGATTCACAAAAGATTCTTAAGAAGAAATTTCCTCTTAACTGCCATTTTTTTTCTTCTTATTTTTTAACTTAAGAAAAAAGTTAAGAATATTTTGTATTCCCTGTGTCCCGGCTCGATGAGACAACACCAATAAAACCTATTACAAACGAGGCATTTGTTGCATCCAGTGGGGACATAATTACTGATTATAATGACTTATACTGTGTTTTTACGCGTTACGTTGCGTATTGCGCCATGTAAACATAAAACCATGTCTGCATTTGTGATCGGAGAAATGACAAACAACAAGTGCTACTCTACACTGCTCAAACTTGCATTTGAATCGTCAGTGGCAAATTCTTTAAATATATAAAACGTACTTACAGGCTGTGAGTCAGAAGCGCCAGACTGTCCTTGCAAAGTTGGAACTGCCCCACTTTATAGAAACAGCCTTTGTGCACAGACGCATTATAGGCTACTCTGCAGGTGCAACAGTCATCCATAAAATGCGCTGCACACATCTGATTATTTGGGCTGAACTGTTCTGGAACGGTGTTGTAAATACAACTTAACCACTGATTTCTAGTTGTGTCCTCTTTTGGAAGGCCAAACAAAGTAGTTTCGCTTTCACAACAAAACACACATTGTCACACATGGTGGGCTTTGGTGAGCGGCGGCCGGCGGGCTAGAGTGAGGAACGGCCGGCAGCTTGAGAACGGTGTGGCCGGCGGGCTTGCGGCAACCTCATGTGTCGATCCTGGGCTGGACTCCGCTTCGTCCACGGTGAAAGCCGATCCGGCGATCCACAGCGCGAAGTTGATGTATTTCCTCAGTGACCAGCACAGATCAGCTCTAAGCATGATGAAGCAGATATCGTCCTCTTTTGAAAGGCCAAACAAAGTAGTTTCATTTTCACAACGAAACACAGCATCTCCACAACATGGCGGCGGCGGAAACAACAGTACTACAGCGAGATTCAAAGTTACGCCTTCTTTATTTGCGTGAACATTTGGGCAATGTTATGCAAATCTTCCCACACAGTGACGAAGACATGTGGGGGTGTTTAAATTAGGCGTTTTAGGAGGGCGTGGACAAGTCTTAACTTTTATAAAGAATAACTCTTTGGGTTTTAGACTTTAGTCTTGGCAACTTTAGGGATCTTATCTATGCACGAACAGCTTGTAACACTCCAAAGAGAAAGGAAAATTTGAAATTGCATCATGTGACACCTTTAAGATTGTTCTTAAAACAAAGTTAAAGAAGAATTTAAATTCTTGAAAAGAATCTTCTTAAAAATCGAAAAATTATTCGTAAATAACTTTTTTTAAATTTAGGACAGTCCCAGACTTGTCTTAAATCCCAAACAGTAAGAATTATTTAATGAATTTATTGGGTTATTTCAAATTAAATGTTATATTTAAGCATTACAACAACACTAGCAACTTATAATGCATAGTAGGACTATTAATAGGAATGTGCACAAGTTTTTGTTACACAGGCCGCATTTGCTGTAGCAGTACAGACACACATACCGGAAGCGTTTACTCTGATGAGAGCGCAAAAACACAGCACAAAAATAAATGAAACCGAGCAATGGAACAGCAATGCCTGTTTCATTGCTCCAGCTTGAAACAGGCAGTAACCGTTCAAAAACAAGCCGCATTAAAAACGTGACGCTGAGCGCCAGTCAACGACGAAAATCAAGCGACGAAAATAGTGAGCGTGCTTATTATGATTATTAGGGTAATCTGCAGGAATCGCGTGTATTCACTCAGATAAAGATTGTCATTTTCTTCTTAAGAAAAAAATTCAGATGTTCTTAAGAATATATTTGAGAACTTAAGAATTTTTCAAGAATTGCACTTCAGAACATTCTTACGAATGTGGAATTTATCTTAAGAAATTTCTTAACTTATTTCTTAAGAAGATTTTCGTGAATCGGACCCTGTTTTTGAGTCCTTAGTACGGTTACGTTCACACACAGTTTGGTTATTTATGGGCGTGACAACCGCATTCTGTAACCGAACTCACACCTGTACATTTTCAGGATTCACAACCGCATTCTCGGAAATACATGCGCTGTGTGAATGGAACAGGACTGGACAACTAGTTGTCTGTCCCTTCATACAGTGAGAGAGAGAGCCGCTCTGCCACATAAACGCGCGTCTACTGTGTGTTACGTATTTTCGGTAACTTGTAGTGATGGACTTATCAACAATTTTTCAAGAATTGCACTTAAGAACATTCTTACGAACTTCGTGGAATTTATCTTAAGAAATTTCTTAACTTATTTCTTAAGAAGATTTTCGTGAATCGGACCCTGTTTTTGAGTCCTTAGTACGGTTACGTTCACACACAGTTTGGTTATTTATGGGCGTGACAACCGCATTCTGTAACCGAACTCACACCTGTACATTTTCAGGATTCACAACCGCATTCTCGGAAATACATGCGCTGTGTGAATGGAACAGGACTGGACAACTAGTTGTCTGTCCCTTCATACAGTGAGAGAGAGAGCCGCTCTGCCACATAAACGCGCGTCTACTGTGTGTTACGTATTTTCGGTAACTTGTAGTGATGGAGAAATGAGCTGCGTGTCATCTGAACGTTTTGGATCTTGTCAGTTTTCCACTGGAGCCGCTCCCGTCAGTTTTGTGTTCTGCGCGCGATTCAAATGCTCTGCTCTCCACCCAAATATAAAAGCTGCTGTCGGTTAATGAAAGTTTGATGAAAGAACTCGCGGCTCGATTGGGCTCTTGTTGTGTCAGAAAGTGATAAGACTTTCAGTTTTATGCACGTCGCCATCTTTGATTTTACTTTGGTCACTGTCGCTATGGTTACTAGTAAGGAATATGGGCTTGACTCCCATTGCACGTTCATACAGACAGTATTCTAAGCACAACTGTAAGCTGCTGTGTGAACGGTTCGAGACTCACACCTGTAAAGAAAATGCAGTTGTCAATCCCAAAAGCTGACAGTGTGAACGTAGCCACAAAGTCGTTGAGAGTTTGGCAGAGATGGCCCGCACTTGGATGCACAAATGCCATGCCCACTTCCCTGTGGCTGCATGGTGATTCTCGCAATGGAAATCAGACTTTCTTTAGCTCAATCTCTCCAGACCTGTGGTGCGTACCAGGATGCCACTGAGGTGGGAAGTTAAAGTGCTTTATCGAGCCAAACAGATCAGTCAAAAACACATCCCAGAATGGAAGGAGAATCTGTAGATTTGAGAAGGAATCTACAATTCGGATTGCTGTTTTCCTGTAGTCTTGCATAGCCAGATTTGGTCAACTTGCATGAAATTCTGGCCAAGAATGACCCAATTAGACATGTGAAACAATGTTTTTTTGTGTTGCTGTTTATAGGAAGAATTTCTACAATATTTGTTTGTCAAAATAATAGGCCAGCATGGGGGGGAAAATATCTACGGTAAACGGAAGAAATTGGCAGAAATCTGACTGTTCATTTATTTATTTATTTTACACTCAAAAGCAGAACATTTCTGTTTGTAAATAACTAGTTAACTTTTTACTAAGTGCCTCAATGTATCTCTCAGAGGTCTGATGTCAATAACCTGGCAAACTTTGGCAAACGTAGTGATTCACTGATGCTTATTACAATCAACAAACAACTTCAAAAAGCCATTATTTATCCCAGTACCTGCAGTTTGCATAAAGCCAAATCAGTCCATTTAAATTGGCAGATTTTGACTACTGCTTGACATTTTGTGGAAAATACATCAGGACATCAGGGAATAGAGTGTGCCTGCTGAGACTAGCTTACCTCCCTTGTTCTGATATGTGCATATATATGTTTGCATACTGTTTACGTGTTTATATCATCAGTGCCGAGTGAAGTTGTACATGCCCCAGTTCACATCCAGACACTTACTCACACCTGTCTGTATGTCTGTATGCAACTGTACAGTAAGAACGAACAGTCATCGTAACTGAGGTATTGTGTCATTTTGACTCTCCTCTGTCATTACCCCGCAGCACAAGTGCGTCAGTCTGTTTATCCTGTGATTCATTCTGTAATCTGAGCTCTTTGATCACCCTGTGCCTGAGACTCCAAACAGGTGTGCAGAATGACAATGCATCATACAGAAGAGCTTCGTACTACTTTTAAAACCACTTATGGGTGATTTCCTTCCCTAAACATTGAAAATAAACTTTTCTGCAAAGTTCCAGTGGGCTAAAATGGATTTTGGACATACCCAAAAAATTTAAGATGCTTTCATCCTTCACTGCTTGTTTTTGTCTGTAGAGAGTCTCCTTCAGCTCTTCAGAGTAAGTGGAGTAGACTTTTGGGTTAATAGACTTCACTAGTTGTCAAGATACAAGTGGGAAAAAAAGGTTTAAACATGCAGGGGCGTGAGAGGATTACAGCTCTGTGTCTGTCTCTCATTACTATGTGTGAGTCATCTCTAATCTCAGGTTTTCTTTCTCTTTCAGGCTTTTAGGGATGAGCTAGAGGGACTGATCCAGGAACAGATGAACAAGGGGAACAACCCCACAGGACTGCTCGCTCTGCGGCAGATCGCAGACTTCTTCATGGCCAGCTCTGTAGCCGGCTTCTCCACCTCCCCCCTCAGTGAGTGTCACCATGGTGCAGCTCATCTACACTGCAACAGATTGCAACATTCCTCCAGTCCTTCAGTGTCCTAGACTGCCCCACTCCTCTACCTGTTCAGAGTTATACAAGTCGCTAAATAGATATTCCCATAAACAGACATTGAGGGAGGAAATACGACCAGTCAACTCAGGAAAGCCTTTGCATTCTTTCATCTTACTTCTTCCTCCCTTATCACCCCATCCAGCCCCTCTGCACATGTGTCTGTTTTCTCTCTACGCTCTGCTATGCGGAACTAATCAGTAGAACTTCAGTGAACCCCTTTCAGTGCTTACTGTACATTCAGAGTCATCTCCTAAATCTCATAGGTGTCTGTAGACTATGCAGAGGTCTGGAGCCTTATCTAGGACATATAATGGAAAAAGTATGATATTCAGAAATAAGACTTTTTTATATTTAGACAAGCATTCAAAATGGCAATGCCCTCCCCAGTTTTCCCAGACCGTTTATGTAAACTAAGTTTAAAATGTGTCATGGTTGTTGAATAATGGCTACCCACATTTGCACATATTTATGAGGTCTGTTCAGTGGAGATTTTGAAAGCAGCAGTTCTCAATCTCTAGATTTATCCAGCTGGAGTTCTGAAATGAGTTCTGTAGCATTTAGTCAAGTGGAGTTCTGGAAAGAGCTCTAGAACATTTAGCTATCTAGAGTTCAAGGATGAGTTCTGGAGATCAAACATGGGTTCCAAAATGTTTAGTCAACTGAAGCTCTAGAATGAGTTCTGGAATGTTTAGTAAAGTAGAGTTCTGGAACACTTTTGGAATGTTTAGCCATCTGGAGATCCAAGGATGAATGTTTCCTCAATGTTTAGTCAGTGGAGTGCTCGAAAGAGTTTTGTAATGTTTAATCAACAGGAGTTCAAGGATGAGTTCCTGAAACTTGTAATAACTGCATGTCTGAAATGAGTTCCAGAATGTTGAGCCATCTAGAGTTCAAAGTTGAATTCTGGAGCCTTTAGCCAGTAGAGATCTAGAAAAAGTGCTGGAATATTGAGTCAACTTGAGTTCAAGGTTGAGTTCTAGAATGTTTGGTCAGCTGAAGCTCTAGAATGATTTCTGAAATGTTTAGTAGATGTAATGTTTTAGTAGAGTTGAGTTCTGGAAACATCTGTGCTCTCAGGTGGGCTCACTCATTGATGCCTAATGAACATCTTGTTCTTTATTTGAATTCCATCTCATGAAATGGTTCAAACCTGTTCTTGAATTGTTCCTTGTTCTGTTTTCTCAGGTTTGGCCATGGTGACCCCAATAAATGACATGTTCAGCATGGAGTCCAGTACTATGGTGAAGGGAGAGAAACAGATCCGCTGCAAACTGGCCAGCCTCTACAGATTAGTGGACCTGTTCAGTTGGGCCCACTTCACAAGCTGTTACGTTACAGTAAGGCACAGCTTTCTATCATTAATATTGCTACCACAGATTAAATATTATACTTGTTTTTTTATTTTAGCACAAGGAAATGAAAGTGAGTGATGTACATTGTGTAATCCAGGGTTTCACAATCCATTCCTGTAGGTGATGAACATTACATTTCCACTGATCAGACACTCCTAGTTTATTACATGGAGAAAGATTTCTGCTTTTCCATTCATCATCAAATTAAATTATATTATTATTAAATTATACACTATTTTTGAATGGCTGTTAATGGAGAAAGATGCTTTTTGTCTTCATAATGGTGTAGTTACTGCATCTGCACTCATGCTCATGAGCTTAACCAGGTGTGCTAAATAAGGAAATATACAATTTTGAATATCTGCATGCCTGTTGGAATGGATTAAGAAACCCTGCGCTAACTTGATCAGGAGAGTAAAAACAGCTGCTTATTTGTGTATTTTAAAACTTGTAGGTTCGTGTCAGTAAGGAGCAGGATCATATCCTCATCATCCCCAGAGGACTCTCCTTTGCTGAGGCCTCTGCGTCCAATCTGGTAAACAAACTGTCTGTCTTGCGTTATCACAGCAGAGTCTGATAGCGGTTTATCATGCCACAGGGCTGCCAGGGTCATTTTGAGCTGTGGTTTTAGTTGAACTCACATTCCAGTAAGACTTAAAATAGATTAGATTCAGTCTTGTGTGGTTCTTACTAGTGCTGGGCGGTATACCGGTTCATACCGAATACTGGTTTTTATTTTTGTTATGATATGAATTTTGAAAATACCGCAATACCGGTATATGTCACTTAAACAACGTTCGGAACGCGACACTGTTTGAAAGGGGTGTTGCACTGTGGTGAGGGCACAGCTGTATGTGTTACTAAGCATGAAAGTTCCGAAACTGAAGCTGTAGAACTAATAGAACGTGATGACACAGAAGAACTCATCCACAATATCCACACTGACCGCCACAAATATCCACCGCCCCCTGCCATCAGCTCCCGCGTCTCACCCACTCACGAGCGCGACTTTAGCACTAGATTTAGCAACTTTCACACCCTTTTAGCAGATTTTTTCCATAGAATATTCATACTGACAAACCTAGCGACTTTTTTGGATAAACCTTAGCTATGGTTCAGTTGGAAGATTTCGCCAGTGCTGTCCTGTGAACGCTAGGTCTGACTTTCCCGGAGAAGTGTCACCTCTCTCGGCGTCTGTTCT